ATCTCTGTAACCCCCTCCTCTCTATATCTGATAGGGTGTGAAACACTCTACATGCATTATAATTGTAATATGGTATAATATAATTATTATATGGTGTATATATGAATTATATTTTAAATTAAATTTTAATCTCCATGAGTTATGGTGGTATTGACCAAGATATCCATCTGCAAGAGAAGATAGCTTTAGTTGCCTGCTAGACTACATTTAAAGAGTATTCAAGCAGACATCTTTAGCAGGAGAGAACTATATGAAATAGGAAGTTTCTAACTAGCACACAGTCATAAACAAAAAAAAGCAATTGTTGCAGGATTTTCATTCTGGTTAAAATGATCTCCTAGATTGTACAGTTATTTTACACATTACACATTGGTATTATTATGGTGAACATGTGTACAGTATTTATTGTTAAAGGAGCTATGTCACTATCTGCGCATCTTTTCTGCGCATTCTCAACTTGAAAAAGTCAGGCTGACTTTTTCATTATTGTTATTTCAATATGGCGGAAATGCTAGAGCGGCCACTGCATGGCCGTGGTGGAAAGCGAAAGAATTCTGGACGCAAAAGAAAGTACGAAGACGACAATACCAAGAAAAAAATGTGGAACCGTGAACATAGACGGATTTATTTAAGCTGAAAACTCCATGAGACTTGGAAGGAATCGAAATATCTCGCTGGGTATGATTCATATAGCGACAGCGATTTTGCGTCCCATTTGCTTTCACTCGAATATCGCAGGAGGTATTATTTCTACTTTTTCTTACGTTTTTCGTTTTATCAGCATTGGATTTTAAGCGAAATAAATAGCTGAGATCTAAACATTTAGGACTGCAGTGAACAAATGTTTTGAAAATCGAAACAAGTGGACGAAAGAGATAGCTGAGACTTCAGTTGGAGATGCTTCTGATGATTTGAACATCAGCAGCATGGACGTGTTGGACACGGCTTTGGAAGGCAAGTGTAATTTATTGCCAGCAATTTACAAACACGAAAAATGTCTTTTGAAAAACGCCACATACCTGTAATTACTTGCTGTTTTATGTCGTAGGCCCACATACATCGACACCTTTGAGAGCCCCAATAAAATTATCCCTGGCACAGAACCAATCACCTATTTTGAAAGACAATGGCACTGACACAGCAATTGTTGAAGAGGAAGCTGCCACTGCTGTTGAAACGTCGCTTGACAAGTATGGTACAACCATAGAATACCCTGCTAATGATATTCATTGTATATTGTGTTTCTATTGTGTTTCTATTGTGCGTATTAATCTCATTTGCGAGGTATTCTACATGGTGTATCATAAAAAAGGCTAGTCTTTGAAATTCAAATTAGCCATATTCTATTGAATTCATCTGACACGTACAGTTCTTGTCATGTGAATTCAATAGAATATGCCTAATATGGATTTCAAAGACTAGCCTTTTTTATGATACACACTGTATAGTTATTCCTTTTAACAAAAGGTATTGTATTGAACAGGTTAAACGTGTCCCTTTTTACTGACGATGAAGGAGTATCCTCGGATGAAGTAAGCTCTGATGAAAGGGTTAGGTAAAGAAAATCATTGCTAGCAAGCTAAATACGATAGCGAGAAGATTGCCAATATTGTGTGGGTTTTTGTATTTAATTTGTAATGTGAACCTTTGTTTTTGTTTTGCAGTTTGCATGACATTTCATCTTCAGCTGTACGTTGTTTACGTATCAAAGAGAAGGGTTTTGTTGAAAGAGACAACCAGCATTGGAATGAATCAGATGAAGAAAGGTATTCTTAAACATAGTGATGCTTAAGAAGTGATCTTATTTAACCAATAAATATGAACCTGATAAAGATCGCTATCAGTAGATCACTTAATGTTCTAAAAAAATATGTCCTAATTACAATTCATTTATAACAAATTAAAACGCTGACTCCTCTTTATTACAATTTACAGTAGCACAAGCCAGCTCCCACGTGATGATAGTCAAGATGAAGACAGTTCAGATGAGGAGAGTGATATGCTTCTGCAAGCAAGATATGGAACTTTTTAATATAAATTTTTAAAATTAATTTTGCATAGCTTGTTTATTTGTATTGTGTACTGGGAAGCTATATGAACAGAGCTTAAATTCAGTTAATGCTGAGCTAAATATGATTTATATGATAGTTCTTCTTCTAGAGCATACAATGTTTATTGTGTACAACTGTTCCAGCTGGCTTATAGTTGGAATATGATGCTACATATAAGCAATTGTGTATTTATTACTAATTAGGTTTATTGTCATTATTAGGGAACTTCAAAAAAGCACTAAAGAACTTATACCTGTGCAAGATGTCAACACTAGTTCCAGCACCCTTACATATGGCCCCCACAAAAAACTGAGCAGAGGAGAGGAACTTAATCATTATACCCGAGAAGTTAAATTAATAAGCAGCCAGAAAGTCATTTGCTCACTCGACCTGCTGTTGAAAGTTTTCCAAGACCGTTGTCAGACACCCGGTTGCACAAATACCACCACTGTGAAACACCATATCATTGGTACTACTGTCATAATTCATTGTTCTTGCTTGTCGGGTCATGATTTCAAATTTTGCTCATCACCGGAGGTTAATGGGATGTACATCAACAACATACAGGCAGCAGCCTCAATCTTGCTGTCGGGTAACAGTTTTGCTAAAATTGAAAGGCTTGCAAACTTTTATGGATTGACATTTGTGTCTAGTTCCACATATTACAGAATGCAAAGGCTGTACATAATTCCAACCATAAATGAATGGTGGTCCTGGATGAGAGGGGAAATTTTGCTGGAATTTGCTGGAAAAGATGTCATTGTTGGGGGCGATGGCCAATGTGATTCTCCAGGCTTCAATGCCAAGAATTTGTGTTACCTCCTGGTTGAAGCAGAAACAAATTACATCATTGACATCGAAGTCTTGGACAAGAGACATGTTGGCCTCGCCTCGACAAACATGGAGAGAGAAAGGCTATAAAGAGGGGGTTAAATGTCATAACAAAGACTTTAAATGTTGTGGAACTTGTGACTGATGCATCAACTTCAATAATAGCCTTTCTTGGTATGTTAATGTTATGATCGGTAAATTTATTGAAAACACTTTAAATTGTAAAGTAATTAGTGATATACAGTTTACTCCAAGGCGTTAAGGCCATTTAAACCACATGTAAAAAGTATCATTTTTATATACAAAATATTTTTGTTTAATAAATATCTATCTTATACTGTATATTCCATTTTAGAAAAAGAATTTGGGGATATTACTCACACCCTTGATGTTTGGCACAAATCAAAAAGCATAAAAAAATGTCTTGCAAAGGTATGGTTTTCTGGATAGGTCAGTTAATTATTTCACAATTTGAACTTACATGGCTTATAATTCTTCCCATGTTGACTTTTTTGTTTAAAAAAGATATTTTGATAGATTACCACCCAGAGAACACTTTTTATTCTGTTCATTTTATATAGCATTATAATCTAGCACATTTAAGTGGTAGCTTTTTTATATGAAAGTTGTTGGTTTGGTTGCCATTTATGGAAAAGTCTCTATATCAAAACATGCTTTGTATATATTCCAGCTTGGTAAACCAAAGGCCATGAGAAAAATTCAGGATTGGTCCCCACACATTGTAAGGCATTTTTGGCACTGCGCTAATATGTGCAGAAGAGATGGCTCAACATCTGATGAAGAAGCTTTAAAAGTAATGAAGGTATGATCCTTATGGAGTTGTGTATTACACCACCAATTCCATGACATTCAGAAATTTAAGCACTGTTACATTCTCTAATAACAGTAAATGAAAAAGGAGTAAATAAATTTAATTATAGGACAAGTGGATAGCTTTACTACATCATGTTTGTAATGAACATCAATAGCTTGGTGGACAATGTGACCATGATGCTGATGTACATGATGAAAGCCTACCGTGGTTTGACCACAGGGATAATGATTTTCTGGAGTTGCAGAAGGTTATCCTGAACCCAGAGCTACTTGCTAGCTTCAAATATTACACTAGATTTAGGTGAATATATTTATGAAACTAAAATTTTATCTGCCTCATGGATTGTTGTGAAATATGGATTTTCATAATCATAAGCAAATATAGTTCTCTCTAGCCAGCCTAATAATTTTCAGAAAAGACAGTTTGTGAACTGAAAACTATATTGACTTATTCATCTTAGAATTAACAAATTCCTAAAAAAGTCCTCAAACATTGTAGTTATCTTTTGCTGTTAGCTCCACCTTCTTCCATCTCAAACTCCCCCTCTGTTAGAATACTAATACTATTTATTAATAATACTGTTGTTGTTTTTCAGGCATACTGGCAGCATTGAGTGTGCCAATAGCCTAAGTTTAATGTATACACCAAAGAGAATACCTTTCAGGTATCATATATAGAATACCTTTTTGTACCAATTTCTGTGATAATAATAGAAAAAGCACTGTGCAATGAAAATAGAATAATACTGCACAATTAACACACAATTATTACTTGAGTAAATTTTATTTCATCATGTTTCAGTTACAAAGCATACAAGGCGAGAAAGCAACTTACGGCTATTGACTGGAATTTTCATGTGAACTCACCCCAAGCAACAGGAAAGACAGGGGAGAAATTGGTCACAAGGAAATACAATCCCAGAACAAGACAGTGGGATCAAAAAATTGTAAAAGTCACGAAAGGCTACGAATACATCCCCCTCTTGATGGCTAAAATATTACAAAGAAGGTAAGAAGATGTTAGTGGTGTAACACAACATGTATCTCTGAATGAAAGTGATCCTGGATTTATTGCACCAACAATTGCTCACGTACCTGCACCAACTACAACTGAAATATGCAAAAGAAGAAGCAGATTCGAAAAAAAAGAATAACTACAAGTATGTCATTTGTTTGCCAAAAAATCATTTATACTCTATATACAGAGTATATACATTGTCTTGTTTGCTTCTGTAATTAAAAAAACATAATATGTAAGGCAGCATTAAGCTGAAAAAATTGTATCTACTGCTCTCTATACCCCATATACACTCCTGTGAGCGATGGATAACGAGATCTGATCTTTAGTACTACACAGGATGGGCAGACCCTCCGATTCCCTTTGCCCAGATAGCCATACCGAGCCAAAATAAACTGCCGGTATGCTGCCTTGCGAAATGCTCTAGTTGAGTTGTCCTCTTGGTCATTTCGTATATCACTAGTGTTCCTGATGCATAATTCTAAAACATCAGGATCCATACATAATTTAGCAAACCTTGATGAATATGTTATACATTTCTTTTGTCTACAGCATTTGTTTTCCACTTCCTGTGGCATTGGTCTACAACGATGACATACACACCAGTCAGGCACTGTTCCTTCCATGGGTTCATCAGGTTCAGGTTCAGCTGCTTGTGCTCTTTCATTGACAGTTGTGTTGGAAAGGTCTCCTAACTGTTCTCCAAATTCTCCTGTTCCATCTTCCTCCTCACTGTCAAGGTAGTCTTCCATTATCAAGAGAGAGTGGATATAATCCATGCTCCCAATGCCTCTTCTCAGGCTCCGAACAGCTAATTTTCTAACCATAGCCTCATCTAATGTAGCGATAAAGGCCTATATATAAATTAAAAACATGCCATAACTATACATTTATTAGAAGTGCTTTTCCCATGCACATATTATGATATAAGAGTTAGCCACAAAGTAAAATTCCTTTGCATTAGCTCTAGCCATTCTGGGCCAACAAGCATTACTGTGAATAACAAATGTGCCATTTGTAAACAGATAACTTAGAGGATGATAAACTGATATTAATATCCATACAATAGCAAAAGTACGACAGCAGAATACCTTTACATCTTTATCTTCCTTTTCTCTGATTGCTTCCTCGGATTCTACTGGCTTGTGCGTAAGCCAGGCTTTTTCTGTTTACCACGGCGAGTCGGACGAGGCGCAAGTGTGTTTAGCAAGCACTGTTCTCCTGTTTCCTGAAGAAATATCGGATTAATTCAACATTTCATAATTGCATCACCAAACGCTGAAAGTAATAGGACAACTCTCGCTGTGATGAATAAAATATTTATATACCTTGTTTTTACAAGGTTTCGAACTAGTACCACATCGGCAGTTCAAGGAACACATTTCATTTCGGCCCTTGCATGGACAACCGCGGCTACTGTTTTCTTTCCGTTTGGTGCAGCAAGAACTCTTACAGTTACAATGTTCGACCTATTATAACACAAATATAGCGGTCAGTATGCTTGAACGAATCTTTACAAAAGTAATAAAAAATGCAAAGATATTCATATTTTTCTTACCGTAGTGTGACTAATCGTAACATCCGCAGGTGACGACATATTTAATCATCACTCCTTGACGAAAATGACAATGGCCGACAACTCAACCGAGATATTTCCGACGATTTCCGAAAAAATCAAACTTATGCGCAGAAAAGATGCGCAGATAGTGACATATCTCCTTTAAACACAGGGAACATGTTGGGGCATACAAATGAAAGACATGCTGTGAGGCAAATCAATGTAAATGTCAACTTCAGGTTTGACTGGCAGAGCTGGCCCATGGTGAATGGTGAAGCAGTCACATGTGTTTGATCATGTTTTGTAATAAAAAAGTTGTTGTCTGACAGTTTTTCTTTTATTTTGACCATGTCAGAAAATATTGCTTGGTATATGCTTAAAGGCGTATGGTGTGACATAATTACAACAGAATCAATTTTTGTTGATTTTAGCAAATCTAAATTAATCTGGTATTCTTCAGCTGAACAAGAATAGGTTATTTGTCAACACTTCTAGATATCTATTTCTTTCACCCATCTTATCTATAGTGATTTCTCTCTTGAATGTTCTTAATGTGTGAAATAGACAAATTTAAGGTCTACTCCAGGGAAACATTTGCTGAAAACATTTCTCTCAGTGGAATCTTTATCCGATATCACCACTGTTGTTTTCTGCCATGCGGAATTATGCTTCTTAAAGCATCCTACAGCAGATTCAATTGTTATTTCTGATTCAGCAACTATAAACAGTCCAACAATTTAACTTAAACTGTGACTATCCACTGCCAGGAAAATATATATCGGCATTTTCAAATCGAGTAACTTGTAAGTCGCATCAACCATTAACAAATCTGGGAACATTGCAAAAACGACCCTTATCTTTTCATCCTGGTAAAATAAGCACTTAAATTCGTTCTTTGTGTCTACTGTAACCTGAACTGTGGAATTACGATCTTTTTTCAAAAAGGTGAGAACAGTCTCTAGTTCACTGCTATTATGTTCCTTTCTGATCTGGGCTTGTGTGTTTTGAATGTCTTTCATCGTAACAGGACGGCCAGTTAATAGATAGTTCAATCTTTTGCTGTATAAGTTTTTTATTTGCTTTTAGACGTATTGCCTCTTTTATTTCTTCTTTACCCTCTCCAACAAGACGTCGTTGTTGGGGAAAGTGATTGTATAATTCATGCAAGGTCTGATGATTTTGTTCGTCATGAGCCTTGGTAACCTCTAAAACTTGTCCATCCAAAGAAAGTGTCAGATAAGTTTCGAACGGGCAGCACTGACAAAAGGAACTAGACAATTTTTTTATGTTTTCACCCTGTCTCGAAGATTTTCCACCAAATTTGCAGGAGATCTTAAGGGCTCTTAAGCTCTTGTTGGCTATTTCGACCATTTTTGGCACTCTTTTAACAGCTCAAATTCAGAAATATCCAAATGATTTTCAGATAGCCGTAAGTGTTAATCAGAGTTGCCATGGTATTTCAGATATTTCTAAATGACAATCAGAAAATGCCCATGCAAATTTCAGATGTTTTGAATTGATAATCAAAAATGTCCAAAGGGATTTCAGACATTAGCAAATGATAATCAGACATATAGAGCAATGTGCAGATATTCTGAAATAAGAAATCTCCCAAGAGATGTTGGACTTTCACAAAGTGTACTAAAATGTGTGCTGCCAATGCATAAAGGCATCACAACCAACACAATTTGTGCCCTGTGTTGAGAAATAATGCCGTGTGGTCCATATTCGCGAATTGCACCAGCCAATAGAGCAAGGATTGTAAGACTGGCCAATAATGGCGGGAATTGGAGTGATCTTGCTGCCCAGCTTGGTGTTAACTACAAAACGGCGTATACATGGATTCGAATGATGCTGAAAATGCGAAGTCCAGAGGCGGAAGAAGCTAACCCATGCCCAGATTGACCGCGTTGTTGCCCTAGTTGAAAGTGATCCTAGCCTCACATTACAACAGTTGTCAGATAGGGTAGCACAAGAATTGGGGATCTGCGTTTCCAAATCAACTATTGGTAACTACTTTGAACGGAGGATTATAACGATAAAGAAAGTATATGCCGTGCCAGCAACCATGAACACAGATGTTAACAAAACGTTGCGACGACAGTACGTCGAAATAATAAGTGAATTAATGCAAGAGGGCAAAATGATCATTTGGATGGATGTTACAAATGTCAATCTATTTTGCCGAAGATCACAAGGCCGAGCTCTAGTAGGTGAACGAGCAGTTATTAAACTCCCAACTTCCAAGGGACCAAATGTACATGTTATATGTGCAATATCATCATATCAGATGATTTACAACACGAGACGAAGGGGGGCATTTAAATCTGACGCAGCAAAGGCATGGCTTCTGGAAATGCTTGAAAGGCTACCAGCCGGAATACAAGTTGACTCAGTCGTTATTGTTTGTAATAATGCTCCATGTCACTCCAAGTTCGAAGAATGCATTACTCAGCATCCAGGCTTAAATGTATGTTGTTTAGAACCGTATTCTCTGATGCTTAACCCTGTGGAGACAATCTGAAGCAAAATGAAAGCTTGTGTAAAGCAGCACATGAGAGTTCCTCCAATTCAACCGGCCAGTGGAGAATTCAGGGTTAGGCAGAATAAATTACTACAGCTTAAAATCGTAATTGCATTGGTAGATTTTTATTTAAAAATATTCTTTAGAAATCGGTGACCAATAGCGTTCGTATTGAGGTATTTTGAATTTAAAATTAGGCCTTTTAATTTATTCTGCCTAACCCTAGATCCGCCACTGTTCAACCCCCTGGTGTGGTAGAACAGCCATTGACATACGTTGAAGGAATTATCAATGATGCCATGGCTCAAATTTCCCCGGGAAATTTACATTATGCGAGCATGACAAGCATGCTCATGGATTTTTTCAAAGTGTTCTCAACATGGAAGACGTAAATGTAGGAACATAAGTTCATAACTACATGCAGAGGAACTTGTGGCTGTTTTTGCATTTTTTGATGTTATTACCAGTATTTTCGTAACCTAAAGTTATTAAAAAAAGCTTTGTTTGAAATTCATGTGTGTTTTTCTGAATTGAATTTGCAACTGCATGAAATTGATTCGAACTGTCTGAAATTCATATGATTTTATCTGAAATTGATTGTAACTATTTGAACTTCATTTAACGTTTTCTGAATTACAACTGCATTATCTGAAATTCACTTAGAGTTTATTACTTTAAGTTGGATACTCTGAAAATCATCTCGATATTTCTGAATTCGACCTGGAAAAGGTGTATTGTTCTAGCTTCTCTCTTCCTGAGCTGACAGTAGTGCTGAGATTCGTACTGCAGTATTGCCTCTTCCAGTTCCTTTAAGCTAGAGAACCTTTCCCCCACTGTAAAGTTGGAATATTTTTTTGCCTTTGTTCTTAATTTCTTTATCGTTTGGGCATTTGTCTTCTGGATCTTCAGGAAAAGCCGAATGATTACCAGACTCTCCTATTTCCAGGACAACTCCAGGAAGAGGCGGATGTGAACTGGACTCTTCCAAATGCTGGTCAACGTCAAGAACAGCAGGATGTTTTTTTGGAATCTTCTAAATGTTGGTCAACTTCAGCAACAGCTGGATGTAAATTGGAATCTTCTAGTAACTGGTCAACTTCAGGAACAGCAGGATGAAAACTGGAATCTTGTAATAGCTGGTCAACTTCAGGAACAGCAGGATGTAACCTGGAAGGAAGGCCATTCCTCTGTAAAAGTATTACATTTCGCCATAGCTTAGGTGCCTTTTGGGTAACCACAGATAAAATAGCCATTATCACGCCACATACATTACCACACATATGGGGGGGATACATTACCATGTTGTATGGGGAAGTTCCTGAACCATTTGGACGAGCAGTTGTGATGGTACACGTATGACGAATTTGGCATATGACATACAGTGTGTATAAAAAAAATTCGAATCCAACTTTGACAGGCTGCTGTGTATAAAATACTACAGGGTGTATAAGAAAAAATGTCCCAAATGTAAAATTTCCGTTTTCCAGGATAAACTTATCTGGTATACCTAGGCCAAGTTTGGTTTCTCATTAAAAAAATTGTGTTACCGGGGGGGTGGTTCCTTTTCACTGATATTGAGAGGGCTTGCGCTCGAAAATGTGAAGCTGAAATTGAGATATTATTTAGCTGTCTAAAAGTAGGAAAGCTTTTTAATAAACTGCCAAAGTTTCAGGAAAAATAATGCAAACTGGGAGCAACGCGCGACCCCTAAAAGTGACAAATATTTCGTTGCGCGCAGTGGATTAAATGCATCGTTGATTTTAGCGTGACCAATCTCATGTAAGGCTGGGGAAATGAATAAATTAAAGCGAGAAACTGAACACAAAACAAAGCGATTTATTCGTGATGTTAATTCTCAGCATGTCCACCATTTTCTTCTAAGCAAACTGCTGCTTGTCTGAGCATACTAAACACAAACTGCTGCTTGTCTGAGCATACTAAACACTGAACAGCGAACCATTTGTCTGTCCATTCACCTAGATTTGCCGGTGGTAGCATAGGCGATTTGCAAGAAAGAATTTCGAACGAAATGGATAATTTGAGGCAGGACAGACAAATGTGGTTCGCCGTTCAGTGTTTACCATGCTCAGACGAGCTGCAGTTTGCTTAGAAAGAAATGGTGGAAATGTTGAGGATTAACATCAAGAATAAAAATCTTGTTATTAAATTGCTTCGTCTTCTTGTTCAGTTTCTCGCTTTAATTTATTCATTTGCCCAGCCTTGCATGAGATTGGTCACGCTAAAATCAACCATGCATTTATTCCACTGCGCGCAATGAAATATTTGTCACTTTTAGGGGTCGTGCGTTGCTCCCAGTTTGCATTATTTTTCCTGAAACTTCGACAGTTTATCAAAAAGCTTTCCAACTTTTAGACAGCTAAATAATATCTCAATTTCAACTTCACATTTTCGCGCGCAAGCCCTCTCAATATCAGTGGAAAGGAACCACCCCCCCGGTAACATAATTTTGTTAATGAAAAACCAAACTTGGCCTAGGTATACCAGATAAGTCTTAACTATCTCTAGGAGCACAAAAATTTGCCAAATTCTGCAAAACATCCTGGAAAACGGAAATTTTACATTTGGGACATTTTTTTGATACACCCTGTAAAGTAAACAATATAATTTTTAAATGGCAACAAAGATTAGCTTATTTAGTTTGCGATTATACCGTTCTTTTAAAAATTGTTGCTCAAAATCAAATTTTTCCACCAATGGGAATTCGAAATGAGACCTCCAGACAAAACAAAATGCAAATTTAATTAAATCGACAAATTGTTATGTAGCAAAATTTAGTTATGTATCATAAAATGTTTTTACAATAAATGTTTGTTGTTCCATGCTTAATGGAGGCATTGTGTTCTTTAAACTTCTATCGTTGAACATTGAATAACCAGAATTTTTGTGATAAATTTGTGTTTTAGTTTTCAGTAATAATTAGGTTTTAAGGTGGTTCCCTACAATTTTTTAAAATATTGAAAACTTGTGGTTATTATTTAAAATTTTAGCACGAGATTTCGTGCTAAAAAAAACAAATTTCCCAGATATATTAACCAACATTCTAACAGTCAGAAATTGCCCATAAGCATGACGTCATTACCGTTGTTATGGCAACAATGGCGATTCAAAATGGCCGACATTTTTTCTATTCACGCATTTTACTCGAAAACAAATCCGGTTACCCCAATTTTTTATTTTATGAAAAGTTTTCTTACAAAAAAATGGAAAATTTTAACCAGTTAAAAAAAATTCTATTGAGCCAAAATTAAAAATTAAAAAACGTGATTTTTCATTATAGAAATTTTTTGGCTTTTTTGAAACTTGCTCAAATTTCCCAATTTTTTGTAAGAAAACTTTTTATAAAATAAAAAATTGGGGTAACCGAATGAATTTGTTTTCAAGTAAAATGCGTGAATGGGTAAAATGATGGCCATATTGAATCGCCATTGTTACTATAACAACGGTAATGACGTGATACTTAAAGACAATTTTCAACTGTTGGAATGTTCGTTAATATATCTGGAAAATTTCGTTTCGTTTAGCAAGAAATTTCTAAATGATCTAAATCATTCGTTTTCAATATTCCTAAAACTGTAGGGAGCCACCTTAAAGCCCTTTCGGACTAATTTTCAATAAAATAAACGTCCAGTTCCCATTGGCGGAAAATGGTGATTTTTATGAACCTTTTTGTCGAACTAGTACTTCTTCATTTTTCAACTAAATTACACGTACAATGTGTCATTTGAAATTGAAATAAATGAACTTAACAATGGTGTAAAAATCAACCAAATTTGTCAAATATATTTTGCGTTATTACACGCAAAATTTCAATTCGAATTCGAATTTTTTGAGTAATCAAGTAAATAATGATTTAACTCAGCTTGTTAGATCGGTTGTTTCTTCGTTACAAAATTTGCCTGCTGCAAGTGCCGAAACACGGGGTAGTTCGAGGAACAGTGAAAACAGGAATGTTAATACTGCTAACGAAGAACTCTCAGAGAGATTCCGACTTCCTCGTGGTCAAAACAGAAGTTCAGCAAGACCTTTACCAAGATCAGGCAATGGACGTTTTGTGCCGTACACTACAGCAGCGAAAGCCAGTAAAAGTAAATCTAAGGCAGATATTATTATTAAAGATGTCTGTTTGTTGCCATCGCCACGTTGGCAAGAGCTTCCCAGACGGCATATTAAACAAGATTTGATAAACAGGAACTTATTCATTGACGCATGGTCATTAGACAAGTCTTGGTCTGAACAGCAATTGCGATCGGAACTCCTCAATCTTTTTAAAAGCCATCTATCTGAAACAACAGAGTAAGTATACAGAGTTTATATATATATATATATATATACCATATATACCATATATACCATATATACCATATATACCATATATACCATATATACCATATATACCATATATACCATATACCATATATACCATATATACCATATATACCATATATACCATATATACCATATATACCATATATACCATATATACCATATATACCATATATACCATATATACCATATATACCATATATACCATATATACCATATACCATATATACCATATATACCATATATACCATATATACCATATATACCATATATACCATATATACCATATATACCATATATACCATATATACCATATATACCATATATACCATATATACCATATATACCATATATACCATATATACCATATATACCATATATACCATATATATACATACCATATATATACATACCATATATATACATACCATATATATACATACCATATATATACATACCATATATATATCAACTACAGTATATATTAATATATTAATCAACTTCTTTTTTTTAGCTTTGAATTTGTTAAATCTGTGGGAAACAAGATAACTACTGTTAAACTTGCAGAAGGGCAGGAGGCAAATGCCAGAATAATTAGACACATTGCTGGCAATGGCCCAGTCTACATTCGCCATTTATTTGATATAGATGATGAGGTAAACTATAGTTAAATAGTTTTGAAATCATCATTATTGCATTTTATATCAACATAGAAAGTACTAAAGAATTTCTATCAATAAATTTATAGCACATAATCATAATTAATGATATAATTAATATAGGAAGATATTGTCATGACAACAGAGCGAACTAATGACATAAGAACATTTGCTTCAAGTGACGAACCATCCACCAGCAGTGTAACCAATCCATCCACCAGCAGTAACCAATCCATCCACCAGCAATGTAACCAATCCATCCACCAGCAGTGTAACCAATCAAGCCACTGAAAGTGTAACCAATCAGTCTCAGTTTGCTCCAATGGAAAGTCAGCAAACAATGAATCTAAATGCATGGACTCTGTGTGATTTAGAAGTCCAACAATTAAGAGATATGTTCCCTGACTGTCCTGCTGATGTTCTGAAAGAAGCATCAGAACAATCTGTAACAATTGATGCTGCAATAGACTTCATTATAAGTAATCCTGCACAAGCAACATGTATGTATTAAGTGTTTTTGATTTTTTGAGGCATTACAATTGCATATTTTAGATTAGTTGTCGTTTGGCATTAGAATAATCACTAATTGCACAGTGCATTCTTATTTCTGATATATTTATTAATAGATGTTACTCCTAATGGCTGTAATGATGCTCCTAATTGCCTGAATGATGCAGCATCCCTCCAAGACATTCTAAAGAGATTTAAGCCAGCACCTGTTGCTCCATCAAGGTTAACTGTGAGTAGAGAAACCATTTTCTCTGATTGCATAGCTTTCTTCAAGCAAAGAAGGTTTGATTTCACAAAACCTTTAAAAGTTACTTTTGAAGGAGAGCCAGCTATTGATGGTGGAGGGCCAAAGAGGGAATTCTTTACCGTTGCTCTACGTTCATTGTTGTCACCTTCAGCAACACCTCGCCTCTTTGAGGGCAGAAATGATCGCTTTTTGCCAATGCATAACACTGATGCACTCCGTGCCAACCTCTTCAAAGTTGCTGGTCGAATGGTGGCTTCTTCCATATTGCAAGGGGGGCCAGGGTTTCCCCATTTCCCAATGTCTGTGTATTCATATTTTCAAAACCCAACCCCTGATGACCTAACAGAGTACCTTTCACAAGATGATGTTGTTGATTTTGATCATGTGATGGCTTTAAGTAAGGTGTGTACAGCCAGTCTAGATTAATTGAAACTTCACCCTTAACTACGGTTTATTAATTTTGTTCCTTAGCTTTGTCCCCTGTTTCTCATTTCTTACTATTTAATTTTCTTCTTTACACAACTTAATGGTTTCCGTGTTTGGATGGCCTGATGATTTCTTACACTAATTTTCTTCTGAGATAGATAGACAGCATTTGCAAAGAGGACGATGTGAAAGGAGTTGCTGGTGATGTACAGCAATTGTTGGTGGAAACTGGATTTCCACATGCTCTGAGCCTAGAAAACCGTTTTCAGGCCATGACTTCGCTCTGCCTTCATGGAATTATACTCTCAAGGAAAGCAGAGCTTGACCAGTTTGTGTGTGGTATGGGACCATTGGTCGACATAATTAAGAAACATCCAAAGGAAATTGAGCCACTTTTTCTTGCTGGTACCAAGAAGCCACTAAGTGCAGAAGAGTTTCTCTCCCTTGTTGAGTATGAAGATGTGAATGATGAAGTAAAGCAACATTTTATCCGTTATGTGGAATTACCAGGTAAATTGCAGCCATAATTAGGATTCATGGCATTTAAAAAAGTTCATTGACATTGTTAATTTTTTATATTTTGAATTTACTGTTGAAATACCCAAAAACATGCCACCCTCTGATATTACATATGCTGCAAGTTAATAAGAAATTTACTGCTTGTTTTTTATTTAGCTACACGGGTAAATAGCCTTTTAATGTTTGCAACCGGTGCTGATGCAGTCCCACCAATGGGTTTCTGCAATCCATCATAACAGTACTACAAAACTCTTCTGTCTTTCCTAACTCAAACACCTGCCCAATGGAATTGGAATTGCCTGGAGCTGTTACAAGTTTTGAAGATTTTAAAAAGAACATGGATACAGCGATAGATACCCAAGAGGAAGGATTTGGCATTGTGTAATTTATATCGATTTATATCGTAAGTTCCATGAAGTAGTTGTGTTTTCAACTCAAACGTTCTGTTCATATTAACAAAAAATTCCAGCATATAGCATAAAATAACAGTTGGCAATTGGATATTTTCTGAGTAAGACCAGATTTTACACTGATAAGTTGTGACTGGTTCACTAAAACAGACAGAGTCTGTTAAAATTGAGTGGAAAAATGTCAACTAATTTATTCCATGTTATAGCTGCTTAAACTCTTTTACTGATTATCTTACGTAATTGACCATAACTAAAAAGATGGCAGCATGTACATTTTACCACAATACATAGCAAGAATCAAGCATAAATGACTAACAAACGATGCGAAGAAAATCACCTAATGATATGAAACTTTAACACAACAAAGAAAATAACCTCCTTTCTTATATCTGTCCTTCAAAAAACTTCAAAATGCTTTTTAAACGATTTCTGACTGCAGTGCATTCTGGTAAAATGTACATCTGCCATATTTTTTTTTATTGTCAATTGATGTTGTGTTAATAGTGTTCATGTGCATCAAAAACTGCAAGTAATATACTACATTTATGCCTGCTAAAGATAGTCAAGTTGTTGTAAGTAGTTAAGAATGACAAGAAAGGCAACAATGCCATCTGTATCATCCAAATCATGAATTTGGTTTGCTAATTGTTCCATTTGACCAAAATGCTCATCTCTTATGTTAATTTGCGATTGCGGAACAGTCACACTGTAATCAGACTGCAATGTAGCCGATGGACCATCTTCATCAATGCCATACTCATTCCAGTCAATATGTTGACCACTGTGAACACTAGACACAGCACTATAGTTGGTGTTTCTTTCAGAAATCATACCTTGCACCCATAGCTGTCGAGGGCTCAGGTTCCTTTCACTACTCAAAGGATGATTGTTCCATGCCTCAGTAAGTTCACAAAGTGCTTCGTTAATAAGGGGAGTGTACACATAATGTAACACAAACAAGTGTAACTCGTTGGTTGAATCCAGCACTAGTGACTCAAGACAAGAAAATATATTCACGAACCTACAACATACAATACTGTTCACTTCTCGCCAAAGCCTTTCTATGCGTTGATTGTGCACAGAAGTTCCAGTTATGATGCTTCCACGATTCAGACCACGTGTTTCGAGCATAAAGCGAGCAACCTCTATATTTTCCAAACCCAAATCAGTTCGTACTCGTGAAGGCAGGTTAAATTTATTTACAGCTTCTCGAAAGCCTTGTAAAAACAGTTAGTGCTTCATTGTTAGTAGCTACCTTCAAAAATACTATCATCCTGGAGAAGCCATCTATTCCTCCGTGAATTACAAAGCGATATGGTTGAATCAGTTTATGATTACCATCTAAATGCCTATAGTAATATCAGTGGAAAAATTATCAATTAGCATTTCTTAGTTGCTTGTAACTCAAAATTATCAGGTGATTCAAAATTATAAGGTGAATCAAATTAATGTTGATTATTTCACACTCACCATAATGCATTTGGACATGGAACAGAATAACGGCGTCGTATAATTGCTCTGGATGCTCTCAATGTGACCATAACTGGATCAACCCTTCGTAGACTATCTAGGATTCGACGTCTTTGTACATTCAAACCACGATTACGCAATGCACCTTGGACGAGCCTATAGCCAATTCTAGGCGTTATACGTAAAACTTCACGCACAATGTTATCAAGATCATCGTCAAGAATGTCACTAAACGACCGGTTGTTTGGCATTGCGAATGAATTCCTTCGGCGTCGAATTGTTCTTTCAGATATTCCAAGACTACGAGCAATTTGAGACCACGAAAATCCAACGTTATCGTGAAGAACTTCTAATAATGCTTGCGATAGTTCAACTGTTGGTCTACCTATTCCAGATCTACTTACTCTAACAACTGATTGCGTGCCTTGTTGCTCCTCCAGAAAGAAATTTTGGTAAGATAAAGCTTCGCAAAATTCTCTTTGTTGATAAATAATTCTAATCAGCCGGCCCAAGTCACTTAACAACTGTTCTTCCTCGGGGTACGTTTCTCGAAGGCGTGAATTCAAAACATTTAGATTTCTTTCATAAGCATCAAGACGACGGGCCAAGAACTCTGCCGAATCAAATGACAGGTTCTCACTCAAAGATGATTGCAATAAAGTTAGTAATGCTCTGAAAAACTCGTCAATTTGAAACTCATCCAATTGACTCCTTATTGCCGCCATTTTGTAATTTTCCTTTTATGATCAACCCCAGTCCACTTCTGTGTTTTTTGTGTTCACGTGTTAAGTTCGAATTAATTTTGTGTGACGGTACGGTTGCTAGGCGACGGAATTTATTTTGTGCAACGGAACGGTACATAATTGGGGTACATAGAGCGCGCGCGCGCGCTCTAACGCGTGGAAACGTTTTTGCGGATTTCATTTGTATCAGGGGACGTTTCGTTAGATTATTTTGTGAATACGACATTATTTTGTGTGCTTCGAATATACTTAACGAGCTATAACTTACTGCCATAGTGTTTCATATTTCATTTGTACTCTTAAGCAGTTTTGACCGGAACGGAACGCCATAGGTATCACAGAAGAATCATGTATTTGACTCTAAGTCTACATACGTCATTGTCCAATGACAGCCTTACCTTTTGGGAGAACTAAGAAAAACTTCCTTAAACATTCCAACAAGGGAAATAAACATAAGCCTGTTTGGTTTTTTTATGTATCATTTTTAGAATTTATTTCTTAAGGGTATCATTATCCATTAAGAGTAAATCGTTGAGCAAAAATGTGCATGTTGTAGAGCATTCATGTTGAAGTAATTTTAAGAGATACCTCAGACAAATTATTCAAGAACTACATCTACACGTTCCTAAAGATCAAACAAGAGGCAAGTGGGTATCCCAAAGAGTGTGTGACGGAAGAACAGAAACTGAGATACGTCGCGGAGTACTTGGAACATCAAGGTTTCAGTTGGATCCTGGTAAAATCGAGTACAACCCTGGCTTGCGTGCGCTGGCAAAGTTGATGTTTGGGATGAGTAGTGCAAAAGATTTTGTAAAAAGGATAGAGTGACATGAACTTATAAAGTTTCTTGCTCCAGGCAAATTCGTGCAAGGAACAAAACATGACCAAAACAGAATTGATCAAGGATCCGCAAGTGTATTACAATTACTTGAGTTCGGACGAGATCAAAGTTTGTGATGGGCGATTTGTGCCAAGTGCGATTACCCCAAGCTCTAAAACCAAGGTTGTCATCGCCGCCTTTTGACTGCTTATGCGCGTCTCAAATTGTACGATCTGTTGGACATGTTACAAGAACGAGCCTTGTATTACAACACAGATTTGGTGATATTCGTGAACAAACTCGATGCAGGTGAACCTCCATTGGGCCCATACATACCTGGGTGAATCGACCGACAAATTAAAAGAAACTCATATAACAACGTTCATTTCGGGCGGCCTATAAAATTATTGTTATTGTATCAATACAAACAAGGTCAAGACAAAGATATGCAGAATTACGCTGGATAGCACCACAAGGCAAAAGATAAATTTTGAGGTAATACAGATAAGCAATAAAGTGGCCATAGACATTCCATTAAAAATTGTACGGAATCCGAATGAGCGTACCATTAAGACCAAGCGTGTGAAGAAAGACTGTCGCATTGTGTACAACAAACATGTGATTGTGGGCAATTATAAAACATTACCTTATGGTTTTTAAAACTAGTTAATTGAACAGATCCTTAAGAAGATTATTACATGAGTGTATTATACATGAATGTTAAATACAAAATATGAAATGTTCAATTGTCAATGTTTAATTTATGATAATGTTCTAAGTTCACACCCATTTGTTTTTCTAAGGATTTTATCCCATCAATGATCTTCTTTTGTAGACCCCACAACATCGCTTCTTTAGCATTTGCATGATGAGAGAAATTACTCATTGCTTGAGGTGCTGGAGGAACAGTTAATTCTGTCAACGTTTCTGGCATGATTTGCATTAATAAAATTGAATGAAGCATTTGATTGTCGATAATTGTTGGCGGTATTACTTTTGCATGTACCAGATGATCCATGATATCTTTCTGATTTGCCGCAAACCAGTTCGTGATAATATCGCTCCAAGACATCTTTGTATGTCAAGCGTCTGTTTGTTATGAGTAACAAGTGGGAATTGTTCGCGCCTATATAATTAAAAAAGTAACAAGTGAGCTGACACAATTTTCAAAGCTGAACTTTGTGACACAGGCGCCTTTTCCATTTTACCTATTTCAACTGTTGTTGAGATTTCCATGGGCGGAAGACGAGTGTTCGGAACGCCAAGAAATATCGGTTATAGACTGTTCAAGGCAAAATCTCAGCGCCATTCCTTATATTAGTTGTGGATATGTGGATTGGTATGTTAGATGTATGATAGGTTATTATAGACCATGAATACATTCAGGAGGTAAAAATTCACACTCTTAAATATATGAATTTACATTATCATCACTAGGAATGTATAAAGTATATTTACTGGTATGAAACCCACTTTTACTGTCCTTTATCTCATATATTTGTTGTCTTCTCCATATTACTGGTGGCTAAATAAAGGAATCCCGCCTCCATTATATTCTGTATTACATGAAGTTTGTTTATTGAATATTCATATCTGCTGACCCAAAGCATAGAAGTGAATAGAAGTAAAATAGCTGTGATTACACGAAGTTTCCAGTGATAATTGTTCGCGGGAAAAATCAAAGCGACGCACCATTATGAAATATTCAAATATATTCAAGTGAACGTGAATATGATAATTAACACTTGATTTATAGTCGTTTTGGGAAGTGTGAAGTTTTTCATTTCATTGTATTGGTTTCACATCTTAAGTTACGAGTTTTGTGATAATGTAACGTTAATTTAACGCAAAAGAATTCGCCTGTATGGTGTCAAACAGAGGTAAGTGATACCTATATTTTTGGGGCTAGGCGGGTAACCGAGTGGCCATGCCACGCTCTTCTGGTTTAAAATGTGCGTGCGGTATAGAACAATTAACATGCCAGTGTTTAGGATAGCGCTTTCCACTGGATAGTGAGCCCAGAACAATTTGTTTGCAATTCCAAAGGCATCTAAAAGAAAATAAATATATTTGTGCGGAGACGCTACCCTTATGCCCTAAGAGCGGATCGCACCGCTGTGAGCAGAGCTGTGCCAAATTTTACCCACTGCAGACATGTGGCAGCATATGTGGAGTAGTCGTAATGGCTGTGTCGGCAATTGCTTGTCAAAACATGGATTTTTTCTACCATATTATGCAGATACAGTTTCCCATCCATATTCCTGCAGACGCCATCGCGATTCTCCAAGTACCTTCGCCTTGCGGTGGCATCTTGGATTACTTCCAACTCTGTAGACATCTCATATTGTCCCAGTGTTGTGGTAGCTTAAACAGTTGCTCTTACTTTCTCAGCTCCACATGCAGCAAGCGATGCTTTAGGTTTGGCTGGTTCAGCTGAAGCTTTCGACTTTCGCCTAACAGCCCTGTTGATAGCATTAAAAGCAGGTGTACATGGTTGACAAGAGTTTTTCTGGTCAAGTGTTGCTTCCTTTATCATGTAACAATCAATAGATCGATATGACACAAAAGTTCAAAATTGGGCTCCTCACTTGTTGATTCTTTGGGCACAGAGTGTCGTATAATGGCTCCAGGTATATATTCTTGAGTAGTTGTAGGGTCAACAACAGCATCCTTGACTTCATCAGTATCTGGTAGTCCCAAACACATGTTACAGCTCTCAAGTTCCTTCAACAATTCTTTCACACAACAGTTTCTTACAGAACAGTTTGTGGTCTTGTATATTTTATGGTCCTCAGGAATTGGCCACTGGTATACAAAAACAATAAATTCCAAATCAGAATCAACAAGCACGGTGTATTTTGGAATGCTGTAAGGTTCTTCAAAAAGTTTTATGCTGATCTCCTTATCTTGCTTCTCTTCTACTTTCCAGGTTTGGATATATTTTAATTCTGTTATGAGTTCTTCAGTACTAGACACACCAACCACCGACACATTTTCGAAGCTTGCTGCTTGTTCATGTGAAGTACTTGGCTGGATATCTGGTCTTACGAGGATGTGATACTTAGCTTTCGAAATTTCATGACTTTTTGTTGCCAAATTTTCAGAAGGCACGCTACCAGTTATCAATATCTTTCGTTTTGGGTCTACAGAATACTTGATATTAACATTTCAGTTGAGAAAGTAAACACAAATGCCTTCCTACAATGCCCTCCTTGTTAATCTGATACATAGTTCATAACAAAGCACACACATAAAATGTAAATTACTAAAAAAGTCATGTTTTGGTTCCACTAATTGTTGACAAGTTACCTAAGAAAGTTGTGGAAAAATGGGAGCTTGAAATTGGAGACTAAAAAGAGGATTTTGTACCAATCAAAACATTATTCTCATTCTTGGAGCAGGTCATAAGGGCAAAAGAATCCGTACAAACCACAACACTAGGGCCTAAACTCCCAAAGAATACTCCCTTCAAGGAAAGCGGTCAAAAGCCATCAATGTTTAAAAGGTTTTCAACATCAGCGTTGTGTTCTTCTGCTCAATCTACAGAAAAGGAGTGTGCATTTTGTAGAAAAGATCCCAATGTGTGGTCATGTATTGGTTTCTTGTCATTGACGGTGGGAGAAAGATTTAGGAAAATAAGTACCAAAGGTTTATGTTTTCTGTGCTTGGAAGGGGGCCATAGATAAAATCAACAAACAAGGCAGGATGATGCATCAAAGAATACTCCAACAAATGTGACAGCTAGTTCAGTTGGAACTGATGAAATTGGGAAAGTGATACTTCATACAGTCCCAGCTGTTTTGTGTGGTTCAAATGGGAAGTCAAAGGTCGTTCGCTGTTTTCTTGATTAGGGTTCACAAACATCCTTTGGAGGAACCTAATCGCGAAATTAAGTGAAGGAAATGGGAAGCAGAATTTTGTTAAGATATTTAAAGCCTGTGGGATTCAACGCAGAAGAAGTTTATGCCAAACTCTCAAGCGAAAATACCATGAGTCCAAGTAATGCACTTGATCAAAGTTTCCTTGAACCTTAGCCCATATGCGAGGTAGCGATGCAGAAACAGTGCCAAAGCGTACATTTTAATGTTGACTGTGTTCAAAGAAAAAAACATTTAATTTAAAGCCAGAATGGTTGGAGAGTTGAGCTAAACACATGTCATAG